AGTATAAATACATCGATCGATCGTAAAATCTCCATCAAACCAAACCTTAAAAGGTTTTCTGACACGAGCAAAAAACATACAAGCATTACAGTTTCCTTGGAGTCCTGTTAGGGGAAATGAAAAAATGGAAAAACCCGCTTTTCTTACCTTTTTACGTCGTCGTTGAACGTCGTCAGTGTGGAAAAGTAAAGTAGAATATACGAGGTTTGAAAATTAACACGAAGACTAATGTTGGCATGAAGCTTTGCAACTGATTGCCTCTGTCCTGGGGTAGAGGTCTGTTGGCCCCGAACCTTAGGACCCTTAAGCTTACCGTTTGTGACAATGAACGTTTTGATAACTGCTATTGACGCTGATTTAACTGGAGAAAAGTGAAATAGAACTTTTAAAATGAGACATTTTTAATTCATATTTATCCATTGCACCAACCACAAATCACTGATGACAACAATATTCCAGCAGGAGGCTCCACTCAGAGAAGCAGTTTTCAGGGTAGTTCCCATGCGAAAATACACATTCTAAAACTGTTATAGTTATCATTCACAAAAAAAAAACGCAAGAGCAATAACAATACAAAAAGCTCCGTGAGCTATAAAAACAAAACTTATTGTTAAGTTCAACAGCTCAATTAAAAAAGAAAAATAAGTCAATGTTTTTCAAGAAATCAATGGTCGTGGACTGTCTAATGCCAAGTTTGAAACTATGCGGCGTGAGGAAATGTTAAGTGCAATTTTCGTGTTAAGATTTTTAAGGGTGGAGCCTCGTACATACTGCATGGGAGCTCTTATCAACTGTAAATCAACGATCTTGCTTATTTCATGGTGTCACATCAGAACTCTAAGAATGTTACCATATTCATTATATTGCCCTGTGCTGGCTTGTACCTTTTCGTAAGTTAATGCTGCCCCTAACTATTTGGTATTTAGTCTCTATATATTTTCATTCTATCCCTATTTATTTATATCTTTGTTTTAATGTTTGTTTGTACTTTTAATTTAGAATGCAGCTTGAGGTAAGGCTTTATTTTCTGTCAATATACGATAATGGAGGTTAGCCTGGAGGTATATAGAGCGGCTTTTGGGCTATTTAATCGTTCTCGGATACGGTGTTTTAAGTTTGTTTATTATTTGAACCACGCGTTCGAAACTCTGAATCTCTTCCCACTTTTAAAGCGAAAACTCGGTCAATTCTCCTTCCACATACTTCCAATAGGTTATATGATTGTTGTTTTACAGGGCGGGCATCTGTTGATCACACCCGCGTTAGACTTGGGTTTTCTTGACAAAGAGAATATCTATTAAAAATTAATAGTTGTGAGTCGCCTATTTGCGAGTGCAGTTTTGACTCTGAATAGGTGAAACACTTTTTCTTGTATTGCCCGAGTATTCCGCTCAATATGCTGTCCTCCTTACCGCTGCTGCTAATATTCTAGGTGGACCATGGTCATCGAGTAGCGATGCTAAGAAACTAGATTTTTTATTGTATGGTGTTGAGTCTGTAAATTAAGACATCAACTGTGCTTTTTTCGCGAAGTACAAAGTTTAATAAATTAACACTATTCGCTTTTCTGAGGCCATTGTTTGATTGTTAACAAAATATATTCCTGGCTTAGCAAGTTTAACTCGTAGCTATTGCAACTTGTGTCTGTCGTTTGTGTCTGTTTGTGTGTGAACCTGAATAAATCGAGGATATATTTGTAATATTTTAACAACCCTCGTTAAGCCTAGGTGCTTTTGGGGAAAGCAATTATAAATATGTGTAACAAAAAAAAAAAAAGAAAAGAAAAGAAAAAAGCTGTTATCACGTGGTACAAAGGGAATGATACCAGCGGCACAAAAATGACTAACTGCTCAACTCTTCATGTTAAGAATGCTGTTTTAAGTAACAGATGATGGTATACCTGTTTTGTAATAAATAAAGTGGGAAAAACAACCGTCAGGTTTTTGCTAGGTGTTGATAAGTTGAGTAGGTTTAGTATGATTACTGGTAAATCCAAAATATCTATCACATGGGGGGCCAACGTGAGTCCGCAATGTTTTCAGCAAAGTCGCTGGAAAAATGCAAGAAATAACGCGAATGGCTTCAACAATTTTTGTGGTATTCTTTTTCTCCAGAGGCATGTTAGAGCTATCTTTTCTGCGAATGAGAGTATGGAAAAAGCATTTTTCCGGCATACTTTTTGGCTGAAGGAAGGGCATCAAAGGAATTCTTAATACTGTGAGAGTGACTGATGCCTCTTACTCTGAAAAAGCTTAAGTGCTTTAACCTTTGTCATACCACAGGTGAAGGGTAATTTCCTCTGATAGGTTAAGGAAACTGCATGACATTTTCCCACATTTCCTTCTGCTGGTGAATTTCCTTCCCATCAACTGCTACAAGCTTTATTACCAACCGTAGCTGAGATGAGAGCTGGGTATCGTTGTCTCAAGGTCAAAGAATTACTTACTAACTGTTACGGTATCACAATCGCACAAGTCAAAAGTGCACCTATTTTTCCCTTTACACGTAAATGCGTTTGTTGTTGACATAAGAACACCCATGGGAGCTCTTTAGTTGGCGTTGGAGCTCGAATCCTCACAGTTGGCTAACCCTTTGGGGCCAGGCGAATTATGAAACTACGGCTTCTCGGGGTCAGGGTAGCCTAACATTGAAACAGTTACAGAGCATATTTCAATCTTGTAAACTTCTCCATACATTTTGAGGTCCAGTTTTGAGGTCCAGTCCAGCAAAACCCGAACAAACCTTCAGTAATACGAACAAAGATTAATAAAGCTACAGACTTCCTGGAGAACTTCATTCAGATGAGGAGCGCTACATCGAGGCCGCAGTCTTCAAAGGAATATGTGACCTTCCACACTTAAGGAAGACCCGAACGACTCTCTACAAGAATCCTAGGGACAAAGCCTTGCTAATTTGATGTTCGGGAGAGAACTATGGCTACCAGCTGACCTCAGGTATGGTAGACCGGATTGTGAACGATTTAACTCACCATGTCTAGATTTTTTATTTGGAGGAGAGCTTGGCTTGCGCCCATGACTATGCCCGGGTGCACTTGAATTTGGCAACTGACAGAATAAAACGAAGGTGTGACACTTAACTCAAAGGTCTCTTAGGGCTAGGCCCTTATGGTCCACAGAGACCCCACATGCTGCTGAAGGGACCTTCGCAACCTCCCCGGGAGGGCGCCGAAGTTTGTCACGAGGTAACTTCCGGGGACTGATAAAAACCGGCCAGATACGAATGCCGACACATCAACAGTGATGGAAGGCCTCAACGAAAAGCTCGGATCTCTCGACGCTTCAGAGATTTTGAACTATATTAAAATAAGTTGATTTCTAAATACATATCTTTAATCTTCCGGGACAGAAAATTTTCGTAGGGGAGGGGGGTAGTGTTAAAAGAACAATAGGCTCCAAGTGTTGATAAGGAACTTAACTGTATTCAGGGTAAGCCATTAGGGCAGTTAGTGTGATATTTTTTAAGTAGCAAGCAGTGTGCTTTGCTCTTCTCAAGAGTAGCTTTCGCTTTATTTTGGGTGTTATGTAAGTCTTACTTTGTCTCCAGGGATCAAGAGAGAATGAAGTCATCATATCCTATAGTTTGGTAAAGGTTGTATTGTTTTAATTTTTGATGTTTACATGTTTAAAACCATCCAGAAAGGTGATATTAAATTGATTGCTTTTTAGGCTTGGGTAAAACTACATACTATTGGAGTTATAAAATGGTCAAAGCACGCTACTTGATGATTTTTTTGAAATTTCGTTGTGGATACAATTTACTAAAACATTAGTCTTTTTACAACCCCGGGTCAATTTGTATTTTCCACAATGAATTCATTGCATCCTGACTTTTCGTAAAATAGTACGTAAAAATAAAAAAATAAAAAATCGTAAAATAGTGAACAAAAAAGATATGATAAATGATAATAAATGATAATAACTACCACCCTAGACCAGAAGCGGAGTGAGCAAATACCTCCGCGTTACATATATATGTATAGCATTAAAGCGTTACAAGGAATGGTAAGGCGAATAATTTTTCAATTGACTGTGTTGATGTTAAAACATTTACTTGAAAACAAGTAATGTTTGAACTTTTCCCAGAGCAATAATATTTAGCAAATTCTCCTACCATACAGTAGAAAGAGTTAAGATTATGAAGATACGAGCGCGTGTATCACTGAATTTAGCTTTTATCTAACGTCATATCACATCAGCATCCTTGTCATGCCCACAGTTGTGACCTGCCCATATACTCCGCACTGCACCCTATTTAGCCATATCGGGCCTGTTCCTTGCCCCAAATGCTGTATCTCTAAGGGCTGACAAAGCTCCATTGTATCCAAGCTGAAGACAAACCACATCGGCATCTTGTAGGTTCCAAGAGTACCCACAAATTGTACCCCTTGTACCCCATAATGTACTTCAACACGTCCAAAAGATGATTCATTGTCTGGACTTACCAAACGAAACGTGTAAATAAAGGAAAGTATTTAATGTTGCTTTAACGGAACCACATCTCAGTTATTACGAGCAAGGAAATTTGTGGTCCGTTTTCAAGAAACTGACCATGGTTTTCACATTCTTGATTGCTGTTCTGACAACCATCTAAAGCGTTTCTTGCAATATTACAGAATGACTCCTGAACTGGAATTTTCTGTCTTGATCATACATATATGTATCATGTCTCGAATCACATACGACTCATGTATCGTTACTGAGTCATACCGATTGAGTCATCCTACTGGAATATAAACTTAAGGTAAAAGCGAGAGCGAATATGTAAGGATTGAGCAATCACAATTTTGAGTAAAGGAGATTCATGGCGCAAAGCACGTTTCGACGTATTATTTTATACCTTTACATTTAGTTCATACAATGGCAAGGAAAATGACAGTGATATCGACGATGGAAGTCTATCGCGTAAATACACTGAGTTGTTTTGGTGAAAATAATTATTTTACTACATTTATATTATTCAGTCGAAACGTCGCGTCCACATCCAAAGCATCTCGCATCGTGAGACAATCGATTACATTTCTCTTTTGAAAGGGTTATCTACCACGATGACTAACCAAAGCCTATTTTCTGATATAGGTTGCTTTTTAATGCCTCGACGTAACTCACTTATTGACAAGTACTTTTCATTCTGATTAAGAAGAAACTTTACCAGATTGAAAATCAAACTAGATAAGATATTCTTCTCAGAAAGATCTCAAATTTTTTTGGGCATTTGAGGTTTCGTGATGTGTCATTGGTAAATGGCTCTTCCCCATAGTTTTCCTATACGGCACGTTTCCAGCAGATCCACGTCAGAACGTAACAAGAGATACCTTTTGCGGCGTCATCCCAGTAATCACACTCTTCTGTTACATGCAGAACATACATCTTTGTTCTTGTCTTGCTTGTTTCATTCTAGTGTCAGGATATAGAAATTTGCAGTAAATCAGACAGTTTAGAACAACAATTTTTGGTGGACGATGAGCACAAAATAGCAATGCTTAAAAGTGGTATGTTTTCGTGACAAAATCTGATTTCCCATTTCCGCGACGAAGTGAAAACGTGCGCATCCCATCGGATGATTGAGGGAATTAGCACGTCATGCTTGATTCTATCATGTCAAACTGACATCTGGCAAAGATTTGTCTCGTTACCTTTTGCAGCAAAGAACAGCCATTTAACCTTTGCACTGTTTAGTGACAGATTTCATAAAACAAGAGTGACATACTAAGTGCCACTTTTCTTTTCTAACCTAATTTGGAAAGAGGGTATCACGGAAACTAACTTAAAGAGAATATAACCTGTAAAGAGTCTACAGAAGTCGCACATTTCAAATACCTGAAACACTCCAAGACACTGCATAATATTTCCACGCACTCCAGCCTGAAATTAAAAGTAAGTTACACTGCCCGTTTAGGGAATAAAGAAAGAGTACTATTTATGCTACATGTAATAATAAATGATAATTTATCTGATCCCTATGGAGAAGGTCTCTTCGAACCAAACGCCAGGCGAACGATAAGTGCGCACAGCAGCAAAAAAAATTCCTGGATCGGTTAATAGTGGACCATTAACACAATCGACTCACTTCCTCAAAAACCTCTCGAACAGCTGCATCTTGGAATCTTTCTCCAGCTTCTACTCCTCCCGCTGGCACTATCCACTTATCTGGATACCTGTTGCTTGTTACCAACAGAATCTGTTCAAAACAAAACGTGCACGTCAGGTCAATGGTTAATGACAAAGATGAAGGCGTGTGCACAGAACGATGCCTAAGAGCGAACATTCAAACCCCATTGAGGAGGAACTGATCAAACGCAGTAATTCTTAGTACTACATAAAGTCTATGGTTTATGTATCTTGTGAAATTATTTTTTTTTTCAGCAACTTTTTATAGGCCTAATTAAGCCAGAACTATTCTAGTTCCAATCAAAAGCAATCTCCTAAATCTCTAACGACCTTCCTTCCTTCTTTACGGCTGGATTTGTTTTTCAATTATTTTTACTGAACTACGATTTTGTGGTGAAGATAATTTTTACAGGCCATATGGGGAGTCTGGGGACCGTGCTGATTTCCATAAATAACACTGGGAAAAAACTGAGATCCGTAATTTCATCAGTAAGGACAGAGACGGTAGAGTAACCAAGAAACCCATTTAACTTCTACTGTACGTCTTTAGGTTTCGGAGAACGAGCTTTTTAGCCACGTGGAAGGCTTCAAATGACTGACACAACGAAAAATTCGACGTTGAGAATCGCACTGTCGTCTGCACGCTCAGCACAGAAGTTAGGATAGACAAAAGATCTCAAAGTGCCTTCTATCAATGAAGAATAAGAACAATCTTGACAACAAAAACAGCTTTACACTATCTATTCGTAAATTGACCAATCATTGTAGTGGGTTCTGAGAGATAAGACAAAGCCTGCCCTCTTCCACAGGTCCATTGGAAACATTAAGAGTGGCAGGGAGAAAGTAGCAATACACGTGACTAAGACTGTCGTGTAATCGCTAAAAGTTCAACTATTCAAGTCAAAAACTTTGACCCCCCCCCAAAAAAACAAAAACCGAGAGGGCAAATTCGATTAGTAAAAATTAATCTTTAATGTTGTAGAGCCTGTATACAATGCAGCTACCCTTTAACAAAACTGTGATCGTGCTCAGCAGAGCAAGATTAGGAAGCTACACGCTTCAGCATGGCATCTGTCAAACGAAGGATTGCTATTTCAACCCGATCATATTGAAGAACATTGTTATCATCATCAGAACATATTATTTCGATTCGTTTGCGCTGATTTTTGTGATGAAAGAACTTGTTTGCCTTAAGTTAAGCAGACCATCGAGCACCGCTTTGAGTTAGTTATCAGTTGATTAAAATAGTTGAAAACAAACATTTTGCTGACTGTAAACAAATATATTGGGCATGATCGAATGTTCTAACAATGCCCTACGTACAGAGTTGAACGTAATACAAAGGAAGAGATTGCTTCCAACTCTCAATTCCGATCATCTTGCTCACAATCCATGAACAGCAAGAATGGTTTTACAGCATTTGCACTCTACAGGATGTCGCAATAACTCTAGGAAAATTATCATGTCAATGATGTGTTCTCCATCTCTAGTGGTGTTACCCTTTTGGGCCTTTCAACTCCATTTAAGGAGAGAATGACCTCTGTTCCGAAGAATGTAGAGCTGTTGTCAAGATCATGATGTTTTTAGATACATCCACTTTATTTCGCATCGGTAGGATGAGGTACCACTAATTGAGTTAGTGAAGAAGTTGTAATACAAAATCACTTACTTCCTTTGCATGGTTTGTTCTGAAGCATATGCAGCCGGCCCGCTTTATGTAGCCGTCCGTATCATAATTCCGAAGCTTGTTCGCTGATCCAACTCGCTCTTTCATTCTGATTGCATGCTCCAACATCCTTCAGCGAAGGTTGATAAATTATGATTTAAAGCTAAGACAATAGCTTTGTGTATGTCCTATCCAGCAACAGTACAAGTACGTGACTCGACTCAGGCTTCAAAACACGGCGTCACTTCCGTGTAAACATTCTGGCACGTTTTCTGAAGTGTCATACGGGCGGCTCGAGGCATGAAGTTTCTCATCGTGCGATGTTGCAATTAAGATAAAGAAGCACACAAACTATACAAGGGAAGGAAGTCAGCTGATCGACACGACCACAAATTTCGCTGTACTGAATTCCCAACTGACCTTTGTTCTCTAATATGGAAATTAAAGCTCTTTAACACTTAATCTCTTTAGGATTGGGACAGCTAATACATAAAAACATGGGGCTTATTCTTTGTATTGTTTACGTGGTGCTGATCAGTCCACCGAGATCGATGTTTTCTGGTTGTAAAGTAGACGTCGTACCCGATCCTGAGCTGCGTTACGCAGAGGGTGCAAATTTCCTCCGTAGAACACGTGCTGAGATCTCGAATAGCAAAGACATTTCGCGGTGCGTTGTAGATATTCGGCCGAAGCTGAGATTCCTCTACACCCTCTTCTAGAGACTTTTGGGTAAGTTAACATTTCTGAAATCTGCGACATAGGGTTTAAAGCTTGCTGTTTTCGGAAAACCACACTCGAGAACTAATCAAGTTTGAGAACCAGATTGTATCATTTGCCAAAAAAATTCTTGATCAAAATTGAAAAAAAAAAAAGAACGAGAATGAAGCGAAAATCCCACGAAGTTTAATGTTACGAGCTCGCCAGACCATCCATGCACCCATCTTGCGCAACATATCTTGCACAAGACACCATGCACAAACCTTATCATGCCTAACAATGAGAAGCGTAAATTTCAGTCTCATCAAAAGTGTGCATATGACATATGTGATGTCCACCAGGTGTAAAAAAATCATAATAGACTGCTTTCTATTAAACCTTTACCTCCCTATTGTCGTGGATCTAGCTAGTAAAGATCGCATTTTGCATGCAAGTACTTTTATGTACTCTGTAGGTTTAACAAACACGACTCTTAACGAGAATCTGGAGGACACGGACGGCGAGAAAAGTAATAGAACACGGAAACAAACAACCAAAAAAAAACACATGCAAGGCATTTTCCATTAAAGTCCATTGGAGGAGCTATTCCCTGGGTGCTGAATGGAACCGAGACACCTGTTTAGTTACGTCACTGTTCGCTATCTGGTGAGGTTCGAGTGTTTAAAAAAGCTGAGAGCCTTCAAAATTAAAAGGGCATTAGTTTTGGTACCCAACCGCAAATCGCCACCACGGTGGGAACTAGAGCTCCTTCAGTCAAAATACAACCTACCAAAACCTTTCCCATCTACCTACTTCGCTATTCCTCTCACTCAAGAAATAGACCACAAGAAATGAACAGGTGACAATACTTCTATTTGGTACTTTTTATAGGCTCTAGAATTATTCCATTTTTTTTCTCTTAAAATTTTTACAGAACACAGAGAATTCTTGACAAACGGATGCTGATCGGGCATGTGATTATTCTATCCCCGTCCACGAGTCATCACAAATGGTTCCTCATATACCATTGTGAAATAAATACTTCAACACGACCAGAGGACGGTGAATTAGTGTGGCTCATCAAACGAACTGTTGTTAATGTGAGAATATCCAGAGTAGTCGTTGTGTTTCAATATTTTAAAATTTGTTTATTAGCAATGGATAACTTACAATACAAAGATGAGACGCAAAATATGGCTAAAGTCAGTCTTCAGAAAGGAATTACGATCCATCGGCCGAGCTGGTTAAGTAGTCGTATCTGGAAAATACGAAACTATCGCGCTCTTCAGCATAATTGTAAACTTTTTAAACAGAAGAGACGGTACAAGATTAATTTTAAAAAAAACGCATAATGAGACTTGTGCTCAGTTTTCAGTACCTACGTCTTTGCATTTGGTATCAACAGTATTGGCCGTGCAAGTTAAGGCAAAAAGATGTTCGACAGCTTTCCCGAAAAAAAAAAGGGAACCTCGGTTTTCACGGCAAAGCAGTTTTCAGAAATTTGATAAAATTTTACACAACGAAGGCATTCTGAGCAGGATCCCATCGATCTTAAGAAATTCTTTATTTGAAGGTAAACCTAGAATAGATTGATGCTAAAACGCACCAGGCCTGATGTCATCACGACGTCCTGCTTTTCAGAGTTGAGCCAGATAATCAACCGAACAAAATGTTTCAGTTCTATCAAGCAAACGTGCATGTACTAAAGATGCAAATCAGCAAAATGTTAGTATATTTGACAATGAATACGAAAACTTATACGTAATAAAGCTTCACCGTTAAGGAAAACGAAACTTGAATTAACTTAGAATCAATTGTGTTACCTAACCGATTAGTAACACTCCCTAACAAAGTAAGCCCTTAAGCCGAGGATGATCATTCCCAAAAACCTGTTACGGCAAAATGTTCAAACAGTTCGCCACTCAAACACTGAGGACGTGTACCTAACTACACTATTAAATCCTCTACGCTTGCATACAACTTCTTGTCGTACATTCTCATGTCGATCAACCTCTAAAGAGAAAAAGAAAGCAACAGCATTATGAAACTGAATGTGTTCCCCCTTTACGTTTCTGCAGTCATCCACATCTGCCGTCGGCTGTCAGGTAAGAGTATTTTTTAAAATAAAAAGACGTTATCATTCACTATTTTTTGGGACATCAGCGCAGTTTTGCAATAATCTTATCACATTTTAAATAATGACCATAAAGGTTTTTCTGTCATTGGAACATTGTATTTTGCTTCTCATACACTGATAATAACTGCTTCTTTATTTGCGTTAGCTTCAAGGAAACAACAGGAAGAAGCAATCCAAACTTCGCATGAATTGGAAGAGATGAATACTTATTATTCGGCTATCTGAATAACAAGCCATTTATTTAAAGATGACCAAGCGTAAAAGCAAATTGCCATGTCCACCATAATTCTCACCTTGTGTAGAGTTTCCTTGTCTTTAAGCTGATTTTTTAATTCAGTGAAAGCTGGTCTTTCATCCGGGTCATTTTGCCAGCATCTCATCATGATCTGATACCTAATATTTTTTATATGGAATAAGATATTATTTCATCTTGCGAACATCAAACATCAGTCGACGTGAAAGAGTTTATAGAATATTTCCTGTTGCAAGGAAGGAGAAAGGCTTGATAGAAGCTTACAATTCATCATCCACGTGTTGCGGTTTAGGCATTCTGTATCCCTCTTCCAGTAGGTTGGCAATTTTTTTTCCATCCATTCTTGGGTAAGGTGAACCGCCTGAAAGAGATCAACAAGACAGTCAGAAGGTAATTGTCTCGAACAACTACCATCACTGAAAGCATCACCTATATCATTTGGTGGAGTATGAGTTTGTACGTTTCATTACTGAGTTGTATTGTGCACTTTTGGTTGATATTTATATCGTTGTGTAATGTTACGCAACTTATTTGGGGTAATTTGTCAAGTTTTTGTGAATAAATTAATTCCTGTGCATCAACGTTTATGTCCACTTTTCAGAAGCAGCCTCGTTTTTTAATGCCCTGTATAATTATGCACAGAAATCTTTTTCGTTATTGTGAGTAAATTTGTAAGTGTTCGTTCTCTTATATGTACTTTTCCTGCTCAATGAACACAATTACTTCGGTTACAGTACTGTCCAATTCAAATAAGCGTATGGCAAAAAATCTCCACAAATTCTCTTAAATTTCCATCAATGTTACCTATGGTAAAAATCTCGTAGAGAACAACTCCATAACTCCATCTGCAGAGAGGCAAAGAAAACATGAGTAAAATGGCTGAAGCCATAAACGTTTTATGAGACAAACGAAATATTTGTTTGACAGAGCCTTTAATCCTAATTTACACTAGTAAAATTTACCGAATGGAAATTAATAAGTTAATGCCCGCTTCTTTCATTTTATTCCAAGCTATTGAGTTATCAAAGTACAGTGTCCACCATCTCTATGGACGCACGGTCGTTGTATGTGTGTATGTGTATTTGTATTTGCTGCAAGGTTCCCTTAAAGTTTAGCCACAAGTTTCAAACGATATATAAATTGAATTTGAGGCAAAAAATGAAAAGTAAGTATGCCAAATATCACTAGATTCGGAAACTGAATGGACATTTAATTTTAACATTTTAGAGTTAACGATACTTCGATTCCCAGACGCAATACGAGTTATGGCTGGAAAAAGAAAACTGAACTTCCTGACTTCAAATGAGGCTTTGCGACGTTTGAACTCTTCTTCGGACCAGTAATTATTATTTTTTTGAGTATTTGAATAGCATTTCGCCAGAATCCTCGTCAGAATTCTTAACACTATGTAGGTCTGGAAGGTGATAGAAATTCACTCATTCTTCGCTCCTAAACAAAATATTTAATACTTCTTTGAATAAAGTTTTGAACTCGAAATACTTATCATTTTTGCCTTACTTCTTTAGTTTTCGGTTAGTGCGCGATTATTATAACGTGGACAAATTGTGTCTGTTATGTCATACAACAATTGTTTAATGGCTGTAACTGTGCGTATATCGAGTTGTGGATGCACTTGGAAAGTCTGGGGAGCAGTCAGGAAGCAAGAACTGCTGTCGGCTGCACTTAAAGGAACTCTTACGTTTCTCATGTGCTTTCCGAACTTCCCACGAACATCCATACTAGTCCTTACCTCTATGTACGCACGCTAAGCATGAATCACTTGTTTAATAGACGTCATATTTCAGAATTATGATCAGGTATACTTACACGTCACTTTTGGTGGTATAGGTACCATAAAACAACGCCTCATAAGCTGTCCACTTCACTGGAAGACGGCCCTTAAGATTTATGAACAGAACAAAAATAATAGTAATCGCAAAATCAACGACAGTTATGGATGAAATAGTACTCTATAAGTATCCGTTATTTCCTCATCAGGTCCAATCCAGAGATTTTATGATCGAAACCATGAACATGTCACCTCTGCAACAAGAGTTATTGTGTAAGGTGATTATGCTGAATGTTCTATAACTGAGTACCCCCCATTTTTGTATTACCTTTGTTTTTCGTTCATAAATATTTTCCTGTTGAACATCTCTGGCCATTCCAAAGTCCGTCACCTTGCACTTTTCGTTTTTTCCAACCAACACGTTACGGGCTGCAAGGTCTCGGTGGATGATCTAAAGGAATGGATTGTGAAAGAAGGGAGAATCAGTAATTAAAAGAGGAAAAAACTGAAAAAGGTTCATATCTAAAAATAGCACATCTAGCGAAATCAATTGCAAGCATATTTCTTATAAGCCCAAGTAATAATAAATTAAAATGCATTAGTACTGTTACAGTTTCCAAGAAAAATGGAGAAAATTTTCTTTCGATAATCAGTAGACTGTTGACAATTGAAAACTTTATGGGAGTCAATGAGACCAGAATAAGTCGAGGGTGAAGTACATCTGCAAGGCTGCACGACGAGTGACAACCACAAATAAAAAAATTATGTTAATAAAAAAAAAGCATGGGCGATGGCGTTGAAAATTGAAAAGTGCGCCCTGCAGAAAAAGCCCTAGACCAAACGGTAAGAATATGAAATAATACGTATGAAAGAAAAACTTACCATAACGGTACGTCCTACAAAGAATTTTTAGAATTAAATTACGTCTTTTGTATTTGTTAATTAACTTACAGATTTTGATGACAGGTAACTCATGCCATCAGCGATTTGCCAGGCAAACTTCATCAGCTGCTGTGACGTCAGATTTGTTCGTGGTGTGATATCCGGGTCTTTGTAGTAAGTGTCATTCAATCCACGGCTCTTTCTCAGGTAACCAAGCAGATCTCCAAAAGGAACATATTCAATCAATACCAGGAGTTCCTCTGAAAACAAAGAAAAAAGCGTTTTTCCTAAAAATTAAAACTAATTGTTATTGACGAGATAGCCTTTTTTTTTTATAAATTTACAAAGAAAATGCGTATGGCATGAAAAACCTACACAACCAAAACATACCAGATTCCGTAACACATCCCAAAAGTTTGATGACGTGAGGATGTTTTTTAAGCTTCTTCATCGTTTCAAGTTCTTTCATCAATTCCCTTTTGTACGATTCAGCAGCGTTAGCTGGAGAGTTAAAAGGAAACGTTAATGATATGCAAAACAAAAAAAAATCGGCAAGAAATGTTCTGAAATCAGTACATGACTCACATTTAAGCATCTTAATGGCCACTGTAGTCGTATCAGACCTCCCTTGAAGTCCTACTGCCGTTCCCTTGGCAACCTGTCCAAAAGCACCTTTACCAATGACTTTTTCGATGGTAACGTGATGTCTTGGAACTTCCCAGGAGCGTTTTGCTGGACGAGGAGGCTCGTAACCTGGACTTGTACTTTGTGCTTTTCTATTATCTTTCCTGGCTTCTCTGAGACCCACGTACTCTGAAGAAGGCTGCCTGGGTGTGCTTGAAATGCGCTGACTTGGTTCGATATCTTGTAGCATCACCACATTCTATCAAATCAATGTACCCATTTAACTACTTAATAAATGAGTATATAGCAATTAAGTCTGATAAGTCTCATCAACAGGCAATACTAGGCAAAAACAGTTTACGCATTTTCATCAGACTTATGTTTATAATATTCCTTTGTTATGACTAAAATCAATAAAAAGCATGTTCTCTACTATTGAAAAGGATCATGTTCGACGGATTGATCGAGAGTTCTGGAATTTTTGAAGATTCATTTGAAAAACAAATCTCAACCGAAAGCAGACTTTTGGATAAATCTATGTGTTAAACTTGGAACAACCGTGAACAAATCCAGTGATTAGTAGCTTGACCTGGTCTCACGACAAAGTCCACATCCAGTAATAGGTTATTAATCACATAGTATCTGCCACCCATTTTAAATGCGCTCCTTCTGCGTTTTTAGTAAAATCCTTTTTCTCTTCGTTCAAAGATTGCGAGTGTTTCGTGAATATAGCACATCAACTGTAAGATCACGCACTTTCTTCTCGCACGGATGCAACCTTAATGTCTTAGCTATAACTTACGTCGTGAACATTTCTCTCTTCTTCATAAGCCCTACTACAAAAAAAATAAAAGCATTACAATAATAAATACTAATACTAATAATAAAGAATAAAGAACTTACATTGCGCTCATACCATGCAGGTATCTTCATATGCGAATTAATAATATAATATAATATAATATAATGAACAATATGAGAGTAAAGCTAAGGTAAGGATAACTAACATTAATTTGAATTTACAAAGTAAATTTCTAAGAACGTCTAAGAGAAAAAGTCACTAATAACTAATTAACTTAGTCATAAGCTCGCTTGAAAAGTACATTTTAAGAATGAATAAATTTACAAATAATCTTCGACGAAACAGTTGAAATTAGATCCAAGACTTCGGCGTATTTAAGCAGTCGAAGGGTGATGATTTCGCCCAAAATCAGAGCAAATAGAGAATAATACGTGGCGTGCGTAGATATGGAATTTCTCTTCGAACGCTTACTCGACAGCTTACGAGTGAGCGCAGCGAACGAGTGAGATGTCGAGTTGACCACGAGAAGAGAAATTTCATATCAACAAGCAACCATGTAATACTTTGTTTCTCATATCAACACAATAGCCCTTCACTGTCAAGGAAAGTCGATTTTATTAATGAATAAAAATATAAGGATCAACAATCCTCGAATAAAAATCGATTTCTTGGTACACTCAAGATGAAAACATGAAGATGAAATCACTACAAAAACAAACAATAAGCCTAATTTCAATACAAAAAATTCTCAGTTATTGAATTGGTCTTTACCGACGGAAGAAATCTTTCAGGTACATGGCCAAAATCTGCTTGTGGCAAATCTTTCAGTTGTCGACTTTTGTTCTCAGGCGCGGGAAATGCCATCACTAACGCCACTGAATACGTAACTTTCGGTTTTTCCTTTCGTATTTTGGTTCTCTTTCCCTTCTAGGAAAGTTTAAACGTCACTGTCTGTAAGCGATACGGATTTTTCAGTTTTTTGAAAAGCCATAATCCGAAAATATTCCGAAAAACGACCTTGGATTGAGATTGGTGAAGCCTTCGCCGTTCATTCACCAACTCGACCGAGTGGTACGAAAGTCGAGTGACGTGTCAGCAGCTGATTGGCGATATCAAACATCGTGAAAAATATCGTATTTTAAACTTATAAACCATTTCATCATATAAACTACGGTTTCATGCAAGGATTTCCAGCCATGAGCAAAGCCGTAACAACACACGTGAAAAAATATCGTATTTTTTAAGTCAGTAGCTGAGAGTTTTGTATTTTGAAAATTACGCCCATTGTTTGGTTTTATATTGTTTCAATAGATTTTTCATCCTGAGCCAACCAACGCACTTTACGATTTCTATTCGGTGATTGTCGATCTATTTATCTTCATTTATTGATAAAATTGACTTTTCTTGTTAGTGCAGGGCTTTTGTGTTTATATGATAAACAAAATAATACATGGTTGCTTTTAGATATTTAATTTCTCTTCTCGTGTATTCACTCACGCTAGGTTAGTATCTACTCCGAAGGGTAGGTAAAGAAGCAAAAAAACAATATTTCCATTCTTTGTTTCTCGAGTAGTAGCCGACAACAGTGTGAAATTATAACCATGGTTATTTCTTGGATCTTAGTACCGAGAAGAAAGCAGAGGTTAGTAGGATCTTAAACACTCGTAAGTCCTTGTATAAATGGTCAGGTAACGAAAGGCTGTTTAAAAAAAAAGAACGAAATAGAAAATTCGCAAGAGCTCAAAGTTCACTGCAGCTATTACAGCGATAATATGCAAATATTTATGAAATGAACTTCGTCAGTTTTTGTCATTTTATTTTAGGATGATATTATATCTGAAGAATAATCTCGAACCATTCCTCACGAGAGCAAATTCTTACCGTTTTTTCTCTTCAGCGCCTAAGGAGGAGGAAAAGGAAAAAAAATTAGAGTTCTTTGGGTGGAGGTAAAAAAAGTTTGTCTTGCTTCATGACGGATCCTGCCCCACCACTCTAACGTAAGTAATGAAATTGTTACTCACCTCTCCTGTGTAGCCAGATTATGTAAATAATCAGAAGAAGGATTATGAAGGCAAGAATACCAATAAATGCTGTTAACTTGACGTCTTTACTTGAGGACTTGCTTTCTTCGTGACCTAAATTGATTGGTTTCGTGAGGTTTAATGAAGCAACAATCGAGCAAGTTTTTATTCTGATCCTAGCCAAAATACTGCTCTAATGACATGGCTTAGGCTCGTGAACGAAAGAATGCGCACAATGACTGTCTAGATACTAAGGCAAAACAGGGTGTTCCCCTTTTTTAATTTGGTCTGAAACAGTTTCTTTGTAACATGTACCTTTGGCTGCAATTCCCAATCCATCTGTGGATGTCAAAGCTTGTTTTATTGAGTCTGGATCGACTTTAAAATCGCCGAATCTGTCTTCCCTTGCAGCATCCGACAGAGAAGTCACAACATGGCTGACTACCACACTCTGATCGAACCTCATCATGAAGTCCAGAACAACACTGCCACACCTAGATAGAAAAGTGTACATCAAAGGACCAGAAAGTCAAAAGCTATTTAAAATAATTTGTACTTCAGTGACATAAGCCACATAGGCCATATGTATGAACGTGCATTAAGCCATGCTGAACTACAATTAATTCAAAGTCGATCGATGTCGAAATTAAGAAAATGGATCGTTCGTCAAATGTCGATTGGTAAGTATTAACTAAGACTTACTTGAGCAGGAAAACAGGTTTTATGTAGAAATTCGCCTATTTGAGCAAAAGATTCCCCTTGAACAAAAATTGCGCTAGCTGGTTTGATTTAGAAAAAAGCTGTACTTTACCTGGTGTTCACAGTGTTAGCGGATAAGCAGCCAAACTTCAAGACAATTTCACAAGCCTAGATGGACATGTGAAAATATTAATCTATGTATGCGACAAAAAATCGTATATTACAACTCTTTTTGTGTTGCTGATGTCTATTACATGTAAAATAATGACTTCATCTTACGAACGAAGTGGTTAACAAGTAGTGGTCAGTGGTTAACAAGATGAATTGCTAATTAGTATCCCATAAAATTAATATGATGATATTGATTAAGCAGACTATCGCACCACATCTGGGAATTCTGCAGCAACTTCTAGACGTCTGTCACAGCTCTCCTGTACCGTTGCTGTCAGGAAAACTTCTGAGTGTTCTGAAACTTACGAATAGCCGTATTCTATTAGAATTCCTAAAAGAATAAATGCCCTTTATGCAGTGCTACAACTTAGAAATGGTTTAAGCTGTGGACATATAAAAAATTTTCAAATAATCCCGGTGAAGATGTCATTCAAACAGAGTGTGTTAATACGCTCAAGAGCAGACTTGACCTTTCACTTGTTATGTTTAATACAAGGCCTTTCACTTGTACTCTTTAATACAAGTCGACCGTCTGTGACACTGTAAGTTTATTAACCTCTCTAATTTTCAGAGTATAACAAGGAAAAGCAGTCACCTGTGGGAGTTGTTTGAGATGATGTAGCAACTGTACTTGATGCTGGTTTAACTGGGGAGAAATGACGTTGGACTTTTAAAACGAGACAATTTTTTAAAATTAATTATTATTATCATGAACCAGTTGATGATAAAAGCAATATTTCAGCGGAGACTCAAATCACAGAAGCAGTTTTCAAGTTTCAATGCGTGTTTACCGAATTCCGGTAGCCGTTCCCCGTAAATCCCCGCCGTAGTTGTGTTGTCTGCGATGTCAAAACAACTAGTTTTTCGTTTCGTACAAAACGTGAGTTGATTAGAGTGTTTTCATAAAATATTTTTATAATTTTCGAATATTTTGCGCATTATGGAGTCAATAATATTTTTGATTCGTTTGCCTACTCTTCTGGGACCTGATTTTCGAGAAAAAACATGCTTTTTTTTTATCTCCACTAGACAAGTCATGGTTGCAGCCGACACGAGTGCCAAGAAGATTGCTCAGTAAGTTCTCTTATTCTCTTTTCTTCACGTTTTTAATAATGAATGTGGTGAAACTCAACACGAATTACGTTTAGTAAATGATGATTTCTCGATTATTTATGTTTTTGAAAGTGTCTCGCATATTTGGTGAACAAAAAAGGGTTCTGCTTGCAGTAAAAAAAATGAAGACAAACAACATGCAACACAAACAAAAAGAAAATAAGCGTTAGCATTTTATTTTTATCTTTAGAACCAACATGGAGTGGACTGAACAACATGACAATATTCTTTGTCAGGAGATTCTCGTTCTTAAACCAAAACAGCGCAAAATGACAAAAAGAAAGTCGATGGTGCCAAAGCAGCGGAAATGAGATACAGAGCTCTAGAGAACCTTGGCGGGACAAAGAAAAGACAAAGGAAAGATGAGGTAGAGAATGAAACAGCAGCAAAAGCAAAACGTCGAAGCAGTGTTAGCGACACGGTGGCATATTTGCGAGAAAAGAACGACCTCATGCGAAATGGAAAATGGAAGAAACGCAGCTACAGAAGCAGCGACTAGAGGCTGAAAGTAAGAAGGAGGAGCATCAGGATTTGATGCAAGTCATGCTCCAGCAAACTAAACAGCAACAAGAACAAATACAAAATTTTCAGATGATGTTCACGCTAATGTAGCGGCAGCAGTCTCAATTATCATAAAACTTCTAGAAAAAGAAAACTGAGCCATGGCCTGATTTTGTACTGTGCAAGATGAATGTAGTTTTCAGCAATTTCAGGCATATGTTTCTTGATTTTGTTTTGTACACTTGCTTTTATTTTATTGTTAGGTTTTCCATTTCATATTAGCTTCATGTTCAGACTTTTTTATTCAAATTAACTTAATTAAAGACTTAATGTTACAGAAACTGGACGTTTTGTGTTCCTGGGTTTAGGAGTGTATCATTCCACCGGGTTATTCTGTGATTATGATCCTGATAAATTGTATCCACCGCAAGGCTGGAAATCATACTTAGCGCTGGAACTGGGCGGCCGAATCGTGGAATTAAATCACTGAGCAAACCTTCGAAATGCGATACACAACCCTTCAATTCCATTGCATATTGTTCCTTGTTGACATGTTAAGTAGTTAGGAAGATGTAGGGCCTCAGAAAGGACGGGAGGGTCACTCTTACGAAAACGAAACTTCATAAGGAAAATCTGGGTTTTTGGATATGTTAACGCCATAAAGAAGAAGGAACTCGTCCTCTGATATATCGCCATCCTCAAAACTTTGCAGAAGAATGCTACGAAAGGAAGCCATGACTGAAGGAATTTATGATAAAAATCGAAAATATGTAAACAATGCCGCCCGCACCTTCGACTTGGTCTCTAAGGACTTTAAGGACTCTGAGGACTTTAAGGATTTTTCGCGCCTTGCGACGGCAACCTCTTCCCCTTCCCCCCTAGGTCATGGAAGCCGTCGTAGACATCCGCCGTCCTCGGATCTTAAGGTCCCTAATATGTCAGAGGATAGAGAGCTATAAATGTTACAACTATTGTAACTACGAAGTATCACGCGATGGTCAAGACAGCTGTGTTGTTTTATTCATAACTTAGAAGTACATCGCAAGCATTGTGACGTCATAATTACATAATTTATTTTACATGGCGTGGTGAACTTCGATATCAAAGGCCTTTAAGGAAATGAAAATGGTCACCTTCTCTTGCCTTTAAGCAAACTATCGAAGAATAAAATTTTATCTGCCCTGATTGTATTTGCATATTTCTTTAATTGAACCTACTTAACTGATAAAAAAAGAGACCTATAACGTGATAATTCTCCCTAAGTCAAATCGAAAAAAAATGAAAAAATTCCTTGTCTATTGATATATTTAGATGAGAAGTCTATTCCTATGAAGATGTGTTCAGTTTCTTCGCAGTTAACCCTAACATCATATATATTCCTAAATAAACACTGCGTCGGCCATGTAGACAAGCTCCTCCAAGAATAGATATCCCAACGATTTAAACAGCAGAATTGAGAAAATTGAACTAAAGAAGAAAAAAGGAGAAGTGAAAAGGACGAAGACTGACACGTGTCCGTGAAATCCTCAGATTCTCGTAAAATAGAAAACAAAAAAAAAATGACAATATTTGCTGCCAGTCCTATGCATAACAGGTCACCAAAATGTACAGCATGAAAGTCCCTTCGCCTGACATAGCATTACAAGGGATAGCAAGGCGTATGTATGTAGATGTTAATAACATTTAAGTGAAAAAGATGCTGGGTTTTTAACTCTTCCCAACGAAAGTATTTCTTGAAAATTTTCAGTATCCCCACCATGGAGTAGAAAGAATTAAGATTATTAAGATAAGAGCGCGTATATCACTGAATTTACCTTTAATCTGGTGGCACACCACACTAACATCATTTTGATGCCCACAGCGATGGCCTCCCCATCCTGCGTGCGTGCATTGTGAGACTGATTTCTCAGATCCTCCACACTGCACATAATTCAGCCATATCGGGCCTGTTCCTTGTCCAAATGCTGCATGTCTAAGGGCTGATAAGGCTCCACCGTATCCAAGTTGGCGACAAACCACATTAGCATCCTTTAGGTCCCAGTAATTATCACAAATTGTTCCCCATGTTCCATGAAATTGGACTTCAACACGTCCAAACGACGGCGAATTGTCGGGACTCACCAAACGGACTGTGGTTAATGTGTAAATGGAGAAAAATATTTTCTACGGCGCTCTCAAGAAACGTATTACAGTCTCCACATTTCGTGACTATTATTCTGAAAATTATCTACCGTTTTTCTTGCGATATTTCAAAATGATTCGTAGACTGGAATTTTCAGCTTTTATTATATGTATTACGCCTCGAATCACATACGAATCATGTATCGTTGCTAAACTATGCTGAGTTATCTTATTGGAATGTCAACGTATCGAAGTCTGACAATAAAACGCGAACTTGAAACTGGGTAACATGTCGGTTTTTTTTTCTCATTTCTAGTTTCATAGCCTTATAGTTCCTTTAAATGACGATGAAATTTATGATGGAAGTCCGTCATATGCCGGGCTGTTGAGGTGACCAAGATTTAATTCAAATATTCCTTTTCCAAACGTTCTGGATTTAATGAAATTTACTGAGCAACTATTCCATCTGTGCTTGTTGGCTATTTACCATCTCATATCCGACGCGCGCTCATGGAATAATTGCAATTATTATATAGGAAGGTAGTCCTGAGGTTAACCTCAGCGTTCTAATTGGTTCTAAGTTGGCTGGGGTTCTGCCAAGGACTTTTGGAGCAAAATGTAAGTTATTAAAAAGATACAGGCTACAGTTTAGGCAGCGAGCCCTGTAGCGGCTGGTTACTCAAAAGTTCCACTCTTTCGCTGGCTTCTGTTTTTTTTAGAACGAGTACCATAAAATTGTACATAGAGACGATAAAGTCACTTAACTTTGTTGGAATGTTAAAGGACCCTGACCGCAAACTGAAAGAGTTCGTTTTCAAAAATAGGATACTTGACAGATGGGTTTAACCTCAACTATCGGATGATCACAGGTAACAAAATGATCATCACAGGTGAACTGCTGTTGAAAGAGAAATAATTCAGTCTGAACTAATCAGACTTTGGCGGGGTTCGAACTCGTGCGTCCATGGAATGTCTTAAGTTCTTTGTGACCAAGCTTTCAAGAAGCGAATTAAATCGGATGTAGAGAACTAAAATGATTGGAAAATAACTGTTTGCAAGATTATAATCTAACTGACCTTTTAGTTGGCGGCACACTACGTTTGCATTTTTACCATGACCACAGTTATGAACTCCCCATCCTCTATGGCTGCACTGCGTTATCGATGTCTCATTTCCTTCACAATTAACGTCATCCAGCCATATCGGACCAGTTCCCTGTCCAAATACTGCATCAGCAGGTGCTGATGAAGCTTCATTGTATCCAAGCTGGCGACAAACTACATCAGCGTCTTGTAAGTCCCACGAGTCGTCGCAAATGGTTCCCCATGTACCATTATAAAACACTTCAACACGACCAGACGACAACAAATTGGTGGAGTTCACCAAGCGAACTGTTGTGAATGTGAGAATATAAGAAAGCTTGTTTAATATTGTGAGCTCGTCATAAGATCTATTTCTGTGCTGGAAATGATGCTTAACCAGTTCATGTGGGTGTATTTAAGTCAGGGACGGATTATGATGTGTATCAAAATAACAGGAGCCTCCTTGAAATATTTTTGAAAGAAAGATTGTTCTGAATAGCTTGTAAGCGGAGATTTTACATGTATGCTATGGATAGTTTTACTTATGCTTAAGTTAGCATTAATTCGCTAAAAATAGCGTTATACGCATCTTTTCGTAAAAACGCGAAAAGTGAGTAAAAAAAAAAAAAGAAGAAAAGAAAATCTGTTGGCTTTGAGTTGTTCATTGTGAGCGTGTATCGCCACATTACCTGCAGGTCGGCAAACTACGCTAGCGTCCTTATAGTGACGACAGTTGTGAGCTCCCAATCCTAAGTGACTGCACTGTGATATTGATGTCTCATTTCCCACACATTGCACGTCATCCAACCATATCTGGCCTGTTCCTTCTCCAAATGCTGCGTTACTAACTGCTCGTAAAGCTCCATCGTATCCAAGCTGGTGACAAACTACATCAGCGTCCTGTAAGTCCCAATAGTCGCTACAAATTGTTCCCCATGTACCATTATACTGCAGTTCAACACGACCAGCACGTGATGAATAAGAATTCACTAAACGAACAGCTGTAAAGTAGACATAACAGTTGACCAGTAGTTATTAGTAAACTAGCGAGAACTAGCATATTCAAATGTATTATCTTAGAAATTGGGTAAAGCCAGGCGCCAATCGTCAACGAAGGGCTAACACTCGAAACGTCAGCTTTTTTACCCTTTACGGTGGCTAATTTACGTTTTCAATCGCATAAATATAGATCATCGACTTGACTCGTGTATAATACACCGAGAGGTCAGTGTTTTTGTGTGTTTTATATGAAGTAATACCTTAATATGGAAATGTTTGTAACTTTCTACCAAGAAACGACAATATGTCACACACTGACTAATTGCAGAGGATAATGACCTAAATTTGGGGAATGAAGACTCAACAACTTTTAAATAATTTGTCGCCAAGCACTTTCCTAAGTAAATAACCTTTTATCCCGCGAAATCGAGGGGACCAGCCCTAGCGAGACAGCCATTAATTAATTGGGAAAATAGTTCGCTTTTTGTCTGTAGAGAATTAATTTCAATATCTCATCGCCTTCCCTAATGAGAGTTCCATCTAAAGTTGCTTTACGCAACGCCTTGCAAAGGGCTATACATCAACGATTATCACCAAGACGTTAGCCGTCATAGCGAGTTTTGGCATTTCGAACGATTGACCCGTCGAGCGTTAACTGTTTGTCAGAGCACAGGAGAGGGCTGAGGGTCATAATCCACCCGTTAATTTTCGCGCGATTTTATTGCCTACTTTAAGTCACGTGGTGGAGAATCACCGGACTGTTATTACACAATAACCCCGTCTACGTCGATATTTATCCTCCGATAACTTCTGTCGAAAAGAAACAAAGCCGTCGAAAAAGGCCACCTCAATAGTTTTATCGTCTCATCTCTATCATTCTACACGGAAGAAAACAAATCGTTTGGAAGAGTCAGGTTAATAGCGAGATTAAAAAGCCTTCAGCCTTTAGAGACACTACATAGCTACACTTTACCATAGCTCATTACTCACCCCAGTGATGAACACATTCCGAGCCATATGCGCTTAAACTTAATCTAAATGTGTTTGAAAGAGCTTCTTGATGTCTACCATCTCAGCCCTTGTAAAGTTAATTTCCGAAATAAATCATCCTGAATACAATTTAGGGCTACCATTAAAGGTTGAAGTAAAACGCTTTAAAGATTCAGGGAATAGCACCAATTGCTATCTGTTGGTGAGAATAACATCGCGAGATGGATAATTTAATTGAATTACTCTCGAATATGCAACGGCTTTCTTTCATTCTGATTAGTTCATTTTTATGCTTGCTAAGGATGGTAATACAACCTACTCGTATCGTTACTTTACCTTTGGGTCGGCATACCACACCAGCGTCTTCAATATGCCCGCAGTTCTCAATTCCCCATCCTTGGTGACTACACTGTGATATCGATGTCTCATTTCCAAAACATCTAACGTCATCCAGCCATATCTGACCAGTTCCTCGTCCAAACGCTGCCTCTCTAGGTGCTGTTAAAGCTCCATTGTGTCCAAGCTGGCGACAAACTACATTAGCGTCGTGTAAGTCCCAGAAATCGTCACAAATGGTTCCCCATGTACCATTATAAAACACTTCAACACGACCAGATGACGGTAGATTGGTGGGACTCACCAAACGAACTGTGGGTATAAGGATAAAAATTAGCTCGGTATACATGGTGAGCGTTCGTCTAAAGAAATGTTTTAATCAGTGGGGAAGCCAACAGCCAACATCGGCTTTGTAATTGTAATTACATCTGACCAGATCGTTCGATGGAATATACGAAAATATGAACAGAACAACATTGGAAATACCCTTTGAGAAAAGGTGCAATAAAAGGTTTGGTTTCGTTGAATTTGCTCTGCTAGCATCACGAGAAAGGAAAAATGAAAAATTGAGAGAACCAAAGAGAGTCTGTGTATTCTAAATTATATACGATGTAGGAGAATCACCTCCTTACCTGCTTGTCGACGTTTTACTCCAGCGTCTTTAGTGTGCCCAAATTTGTAGGCTTCCCATCGTCCGTGATGGAAAGGTCAATTTCATTACTGTCAAATTTTGTAACAAGTTTCTCGTATTCTATTTGACCCTTTTACACATGCTTAGCAAAAATGGCATTAAAAAGTGCTCGTATCGTTACTCTACCTTTAGGTTGGCACACCAGAACTAGTCCTTTCCTAAAACTACCAAATTCAAATGTACTATCTTAGAAATTAGGTAAAGCCAGGCAGCTCCACCAATCCGGTATGGACAAAATTCCCAATAAAGCGCAGGGTTTAACTGAATAACAATAATCCTATTTTTGATTTTAATAATCTTCAATAATCTTTATTTGCCAATTAAAACTAAAAAATAATATATCAGGACAATCAACTTCAAAGAGTATTTCTTGAAAATTGAATATGTACAATAGAAAACTGTCTTGTCAATAACTAAAAATAACAATTTTCATTTCTAAAATTATACAAACCTATTACAGAAATTTATAAAAATTGTTTAGTAACAAGCTAATAATAAAAAAATCTTTCATTTCTTTGCTATAAATGCTTTTTCTAAAAAATAAAAGTTTTCACTTGCTATTATTTCCATGGATTAAAGATAAATCAAGGGCGTAAAAGAAAACACAAAGTAGTATTCCTGGCTCTGGCTAGAGTTCCTCAGAAATATCGTTCTCGATGCCTTAACGAATATTTGCATGTCCTCTTTCATTATCCATATCAATGTCCCACAATTCTAAATGAACTCTTCGAGATACTGGCGAACCTCTTAAGCAAAGTAATGCTTATCTCAGCAGTGCAAAGGACACTCGGATCCAGGAATTCAAAAAGGGGGGTTCGAACAAATGTGTCGACTAAGGCGGACCCATTTGGGGGGTCCGGGGCATGCTCCCCCGGGAAATTTTGAAATTTAAGTCCTCGGCCGTGATGCAATTTCCAGCGTTTTGAGGGATGATGGTGGAAGGTTTAATACCTTACAAACCATCTCTTTTTAAAGCTATTTCATTAAACAAGGACTACGCCTCTTTTATTTACGTCCAGGTTACATGTTTTGTTTGTTTGTTTTTTTCGCAAGTAAGAAAACGCGCGCCGCAGGAGAGCGATGTTGATTTTACCTATTTATCCGATGTTGATTTGCCTATTTCTTCTACCTAAGTATTTTTAAGAACGCAAGAGAACTGATATCATGGCCGAGTTCCCAAGTGCTTCTATAAGCCAACAGTGAAAGAGTAGCAAGTTTATTTCTTTTATAAAATGCTGACAAAATTGCGTGCGTTCAAACGTGCGAACTGAAGCCCCATAAAGCACGCGCGTGGCGCAAGTATGAACCCGAAGGCGAACCGACCAATAATAGCGCACGCAATTCCTTGAACATTTTATAAACTAAGGGTGCGTTCCTTTGGGAGGATCCGGATTTGGATTTGTGATCCAAGATCACACAGATTACGGTGCATCAAAGGAATGGAGCTTTAGGGTGCGTTCCTTTGGGAGAATCCGGATCAGGATTTCTGATCTGTGACGTTCCTTTCGAGTAAATCCATTTTCAGAACAGTGATCTATCAAATTCACTCTGGACAAGGATTCATCGGATCACTGATCCGCACGATCTAAAGACGGATCATTGGATCACTGATTCAACGCGTTCCTTTGGGCGAAGGATCCGAAATTAATCATTTCGCCCAGCGGTGCTCAATTTCAAACAAGAAGGTACTTCATATATCGACCGGAAAGATTGCTGGCAATCGCTCCACAAATTCTGCGATAAACACGGAATAAACTCGATTTTGTAATGTTAAATCTATCAGCCACTGGTCGCAGGCTTTCAGGGTTCCCAAGTAACCTTCATCTTCACAACTTCTCGCTTCTTGTAGTATTGAATCATCAGAAATTTCCTCTATTAATGAAACAACAGCTGATCTATTCGCGACGGCCATCTTGTTTTCGTTTTTAAATCTAGCGCGCGATTCCGCTGATGCGCTCTACAATTTCGCGCCTGTCGTCATGGTAACTGATCTGATTAACTAAAGCTCCGTTCCTTTGATGCACCGTGATCTGTGCGATCTTGGATCACAAATCCTAATCCGGATCCTCCCAAAGGAACGCACGTGTGATCACGTGTGAACGCGATTGTGTCGATCATCAAGCCATGGACAAATTTTTTCATCAATCAAAGTTACAAAATTTTCGGTAATGCTATTGAAAAATCCAAAGAAAGGGCAATATCGTAAATTAATGTTCTAAGATCTTCTAAGGGTACTTTTACTCAGAGAAATTCGGGATCTGTTCACTTATACAGTACATCTTGTGCTACGTAGAATTACCCGTATAAATAGTGCAAATAGTGTTGTACAGTAATTTACGAAAGAGGACTTGTGTATTTCGACGCTACAACTAATTATGTATATATATAATTATTAACTAATCACAGATTATTGCACGTTGATTAGCTGACTGACAAACGAAGAGGGGGACCCTGATTTAGTAATTTCCGAAAAAGGCCACTTTGGGCGCTAGGAGAGTGAATAACGAACATGTTATTTTACCAAGCAGACAAATAAAATAGGAAGCGCTCATATGTAACGAATTTTAGACGGGCATTTTGTTTCGTTCATTTATGTTTTTCTTCAGAAACCGTACGTGTTAGAATTTTTTTTTCTTTCAGTTTAGGGGTTCGACCGAACCAGCCGAACCACCCCTGGATCCGCCCCAGTCTTGTCCTGATCCATGAAATGGTAGTCGCATAGCTTTTGCCCTTCTTTGTAGCAACTAGCTCAGCAAGTCTACCATGGTATTGTTTACATTTCACCGCCGTTCCATCTTTGTTTTTTGTTCTCGAAACACTCACAGAAATTTTTTACCTTTCGGCGGGACGCATGGCATTCGGTAAAGCTGTTTGTCCGCCTATGAAGACGACAGTCGACATTCATACTTCGACTCAGATTTCTTCGCCTTATCTTTCTTTGAATTTTTACGTCCTTTTCATTTCACTGTTGTCGAGCGATACAAGAAAACTGACTCGCAGTGCTAAGGTTGAAGCAACCATCATGTATCTACAAGAGGATAACGCTTTCTTCACTCGAGGCTTCCATATTACGCCAATTCAACGAACAAGGTCCAACAACTTGGCCTAAGCAGAGTTGTCTCTCTCAATCCTGGCTCTAAATCATGCTTGCAAACGCTCTATTCGTTTCCAGACCATCGTAAATGCGAATGAGTCAAACCGAAGTCAGGGTATGGACTACTTCAATTGAATTTTTCCTCCCTGTCTTTCTTAGACCACTACGATTACTATTATCATCTCAAATGTTTCTAAATCATACATAAACTGAAAACTACTGCAGATTACTTGACAAAAGAAGACAAAGAACCGTTTGTCTTAAATGAATGCCTCAATATTAACAATTTTCTTAACCGAAGTAGTAGACTTCGACATACTTGGCATTAGAGCGATTCGTCATAGATAATTACATCTTGGATTATTGAAAAAGCAGTCTATAGATGGGATAATCTGACATCGGAGCTACAATGATGCTACACCACTTCTGTGAGATTAGAATCTTTTCTGATCGGCTCTATATACAGACCTTCCCTTTTATCCCGCGTAATCGAGAGGGCCAGTATTAGCGAGACAACAGCCATTTAATAATTGGGAAAAGAGGTCGCTCTTTGTCTATTGAGAATTGATTTCAATATCTTATCGCCTTCCCTAATGATAACTACATCCAAGGTTGCTTTACGCAATGCCTTGCAAAGGGCTCTATATCAACGATTATCAATGAGAAGTAGGCTTCGAACGATTGACACATCGAGCGTCAACTGTTTGTCAATGCACAGCAGAGTATTGAAGGTCATACTCCGCCCATTAATTTTCGCGCGATTTTATTGGCTACTTTGAGTCACGTGGTGGAGAATCACCGGACTCTTTTCACGCAATAACCCGCGTCTACGTCGATATTCATCATTCTATCATTTCTGTCGAAAAGAAGAGTTTTATCTTCTCATGTCTATTATTAAACACGGAAGAAAACAAATCGTTCGGTCGAGTCCAGTAATAGTGATATCATGAAGCCTTCAGCCTTTAGAGACAATACACAGCTACACTTTACTATAGTAATGACGCCAACGATGAACACATTCTAAGCTATATGCGCGTAAACTTAATCTAAATGTGTTTGAAAGAGCTTTTTGATGTCTACCATCTCAGCCCTTGTAAAGTTAATTTCCAAAATAAATCATCCTGAATACAATTTAGGGCTACCATTAAAGGTTGAAGTAAAACGCTTTAAAGATTCAGGGAATAGCACCAATTGCTATCTGTTGGTGGGAATAACATCGCGAGATGGATAATTTAATTGAATTACTCTCGAATATGCAACGGCTTTCTTTAATTCTGATTAGTTCATTTTTATGCTTGCTAAGGATGGTAATGCAACGTACTCGTATCGTTACTTTACCTTTGGGTCGGCATACCACACCAGCATCTTCAATATGCCCGCAGTTCTCAATTCCCCATCCTTGGTGACTACACTGTGATATCGATGTCTCATTTCCAAAACATCTAACGTCATCCAGCCATATCTGACCAGTTCCTTGTCCAAACGCTGCCTCTCTAGGTGCTGTTAAAGCTCCATTGTGTCCAAGCTGGCGACAAACTACATTAGCGTCGTGTAAGTCCCAGAAATCGTCACAAATGGTTCCCCATGTACCATTATAAAACACTTCAACACGACCAGACGACAGTAAATTGGTAGGGCTCACCAAACGAACTATGAGTATAGGGATAAAATTTAGCTAGGCATACATGGTGAGCATTAGTCTAAAGAAATGTTTTGATCACTGGTGAGACAACAGCCAACATCGGCTTTGTAATTGTAATTGCATTTGACCAGATCGTTCTTCGGAATATAAGAAAATATGAATAAAACAACATCGGAAATGCCCCTTGAGAAAAGGTGCAGTAAAAGTTTGGTTTAGTTGAATTCGCTCTGCTAGCATCATGAGATAGGAAAAATGAAAAATTGAGAGAACGAAGGAAAGTTTGTGTCTTCCAAATTAAATGCGATGTAGGAGTATTACCTCCTTACCTGCTTGTCGACGTTTTACTCCAGCGTCTTTAGCTAGTATGCCCAAATTTGTGGGCTACCCATCGTCCGTGATGGGAAGGTTAACTTCATTACTGTCAAATTTTGTAACGACTTTCTCGCATTCTGATCGGCTCTTTTTCACATGCTCAGTAAAAATGGCAATAAAAAGTGCTCGTATCGTTTTTCTACCTACGTAACCGAGCCATTAGCGAGGACGTGAAATCCCCGGAACCATGAATGGACCTTCCTGGACTGAAAAATGAGGGTATCGTCCGAGTGAAGCCATTAAAGAAGTGCGCACAAGTGATTGACGATGGAAAGCCAGCTTAAGCTTTGCATCCGACTGACCGTTGAAAAGAAATTGATTTTCCTTTACACAAAAACCGATGGAGTTTTTTTTTTTCAGAGCTCAGTAGAACCCCTGTTCTAGTCCTTAGTTCACCGAGAAATTTTTTACTTAAACCAAAGACGAGAATCGCGTAAGTTGATACACTGTTACACTTACCAGTAACACTTGCTGCTTTCGGAAGAAGCACCACAATACCTGAAAGAAAAATCACGAAAACTTATTTGTTGGATTAACTTTGCCAGACCTGTACATGTTATGTGTAGTCTGCATTGCAGACGTCTTATTACGGATAGTTAACTTTAATAAACACGCGATCGCTTGTTCAACTGGTCATGCTTGATTTGGAGATAGGGACAGCGATAGGGGGGGAGGGGTGGGGGAAAGCGAAAAGAGAAATTATAAATTACATTGTGCACAACAAACGGTACAAAGAAATTCGATAAAAACGGTCGGGAAAGACGAGGCGTCTATGCAATAAAGGTAGGGAGGTTGAACACGTCATATTTCTCGCTTTTATTATCATGGCTATTTTTTCAACATTTTCTAAAAATTTTTTTTTTATGGCACAGGCGAACGCTTAAAATTCAATCTAAATTTATCAGACAACCGTGTAATATTGAGGGAATTTCGACTTCAATGAATTTTCAAAGAAAAATTTAATACCACTGAACAAGGAGATAGATTTCATACCGAGGAAATTTTAGCTTGTACTACTCTAGTTAATACACATATTCAGGTTGATATTCTCGTGGTATTACATGTTCCTGTTTATGACCTTTAAACCCCCAAATCACATGCACGTACGTTTTGGCCGCCTTTGTTGACGATTGACGTTCACACAGAAGATATATTTCTAGGACTTAAAATTAAGTTTTTCTGTTTCGATACGAATAATGAATATTACGTCAGCATGTTGCTCACTTTTAAGATTCTCTTTCATTCGATTTTTACGTTAGTATCTCGAGCACTTTAGAATTCTCATTTATTGGATTGGAACGTTAGTCTTCCGCTTACTCTTAGCACTTTCAGTAATATATCAAAAGCGAGTGCGAGTGTTTTGTCATAGGTTCCAACCTTTTTTAAACGGATGAAGAATGAGGCTGCAGGCCGAGTGCTTTTATTATTTCGAGGTCTTTGGAACACGAAGCACGAGTTTTCGATATGACTTCTCTGACAAGTGCACCTAAAACACACTTAACTTGTGTGTGTAATTAGCACCTTTTGTTAAAATGGAAAACCTGGTGCATTCTTTCTTGTTTAGCTCAACCTTTGCAATCATACCTTTATTTTAACAGATTTGATTTACGTTTTGCCAAATGTGAGCAGTTGACACACGACGGCAGAGGGGATGGATGGCAGGGCGAGCCGTTTTCACTCTGGCCAAAACTGCAGTTTAGGAACAACGTCTGGCTGATGAAGCTGTTTCAATCCACATAGTATAAGAACAAATGAGCTCTGAAAATATTTCGGTAAAGAGAAGCTTATAGGTGAGCGCACAGATCATCGCTCTGATGCTTTATCGAGGTATGAGAAAATAAGTGAAGGAAATAAGGCCAAGGTTTCTTACTTACTGGGACCAAATGTAGTGTACACACCTTGTACGACTGAAAGCTGTAAACAAGAACACGGAAAACCAATAAACGGTGATGCAAATGTAAGTAATGCTTCATTTCACCTCAAAATTTCCAGAATTGTAATTTTTTTACGTCGTCAATTACTTTGCTAAAGACAACAATCAGTAACTAGTGAAATGTAAACGTGGTTTCAAACAAAAATTCAAGTGTTTTGATCAGTGTCCTGATCAGTTTTTTAACTAATCGGAGCAATCTTGTTTTCATGGGGAAATCAAAAGTAACGCACCTGACAAAAGGAGGCAATCTTATTGGCTAATACCTCATAAATAATTAATACTTTTGAGAGACATAGATCAAAGATGAAAACTTCATGACATGCTAGCGTAAACTCGCAATGAGGAGTTTTACGATGAAAGCTATCAAAAGTTTTTTGTACTGTCAACACGATCTAAGCGTGATCTCGCGTGTTAACTTGTTGAACTGCAGGAATGATGCGTAGTGGCGTTTCAAAGACAAGTTATCAATAAACACCAGAGTAGGGTCACTTAGCCAATCAGAGCAAAGTACTCAAACGGCTTCCAGGAGGCGCGGTCTTGAATTCAGTGCCCGCCGTTTTGTTCCCCGTGATTTACCGTTAAAAGGTTATATAGAGAAGCAATCGAACAAAATTACTTTGAGTGAAACAAACAGGTATTTCGCCTGCTTCAAAGAGTTCTTGAGAACTAAAGAAATAGACAAAGAGATTGAAAACTTTGGAGCGAAAGAGCACGTTGAAGTTTTGTGTGCATTCATTGTGAAAGTTAGCGGAGGTCTGGAATATTTTGCGGTTATGCAAACTTATGATTTCGAAAAAGATAACACTGATATGTTTAATTTTCGTTGTGCATATAATTATATTTCTCAAACTCGTTAATAATGCATCAGGTAATTAACCAATTGTGTGGCCTCATTTGGCCTTGATATCCGGTAAAGAACAGATCCAAACACGCGTGATTAGATATCCAAACACACGTGTTAGGATATCCAAACACGTGTGTTTGAAAATTAATTTCCAAAAGAATACAGTACTTGAACAAATGTTTATTAACAAATGGCCCGTGCTTTCATCAGTTTTCTCGTGTTTGGAAACCCTGATGAAACACTCGCCCTCGTTTATAAACAAATTACAGAATAGAAAGTTCTTTGCACGGAATTTTATTCACTCGTTGCTTTTCCCTTTGGAAAGTCACTCGTTTGTTGTACTCATGCACTTCTGTAATGTAGGCATGGCCTCGATATAGTGATGCCTCGTTAGGGGGCTACAAATAAAGAAGCCTTGATTATGCTTTGTTCTGTTGTACATGAAGTGGCTTGAGAGTGAAAGGGAAACACGAGACTTAATCGAGGGTTTTCCGTACTTCTTGTTGAGTCTTCTAGCCTCTTCCCAATTTTTTTTATTAGTTTTATGATGAAGAAAACATTGATTTCGCCACGCATTCGTAAAAATTTTCCCAAACTAACAGAGGTGACACGAGCATGCTGCTGTATTTTCATAAAGCACGCCAAAATAGACCAATCCGAACCTTTGTTAGATTGGTTCAAATAATTTGTTTGGATAAGACTAAAGTAGTCAAAATGTGAAACAATCAAAGATCACAAACTGAAATAGTTCACAAACTGAAATAGTTCCGCAAGTCAGCAGGTTTTTCATCATTCTTGTGTGATTTGTTTTTGAAGAAAAAACTATTTATATTTATTATATGAGTGTTAGCAGTGTTTGAATTCTATTACCGTAATTAAGCTTGAGCCAGTCTTAAAGCGTGAAAACCTTCAAAAACTCGGACAGTCCACTTCCGGCGTTTTCTCTTTGGTGTTTTTCGTCTCTGCTCAAGTCATAATTTCGTCAGTTTCGACGTTTGGCATGTCTACAAACCGTTGTTTATTTCTCCCGTTGCTAATAGCTATATATACATAGCTGACTCGGTGTTTTCATCAATAACTAGGTTCCGAAATGTCACTTTCTATCTCCATGTGATTTGTTCTGTTACTTACAGTTTGATCTGGATCAATTGAAGTCAGGTGCTCGTTTTTTATGTTCGCGTTCTAGGCCATGCAAGCCATGTGGGTCAACAGAAAAAAGAAAAAAAAAGGTGAAAAAAAACGTGAGAGAAGTCCGGGAAATAGTCGGCCATTGCACAAATTGGTTGATGGCGTGACAAAGTTACTCCGTGCATTTGTACTCTGATAAAGCACGACGTTTCATCCAAATCAGAAAGCTTAAAAAAAATTTTAACAAAAAATAGTGGATAAAGGCCCCGTGAAGTTTAGTGAATTAAACAATTCGTACACTTTCCCAAGTTTTCCAAATCTTGAATAAAAATCTGTGTGTCACACTTTCCATGAAGTAATCTAGACTTATGCGAAAAACTGTTCGCGATCAGTCGCCAACGATCCCTAAGAGTTCAGACGCATGGCGGACGTTTGGGCAGGCAATGAAGTAGAAGGTTCTTCTGGAAAGAATGTTTTATTGCGAATCTTATGAAAAGAATCGCAATTTCAGAATTCATTAGATAAGAGGCAGAATCTCTTGTAATCAAAATGCTATTAAGTTAACTTTTACTGCTGGTAACTTTGATAATTACAAACCTAATTATCCGATAAAGTCTGTTAAGCTTTGTTACATTACAGCAGTGGAGTAGGTACATGAACGATTCCTTAGGAAAACGAAAAACAATGTCGTAGCCGCGATAACCTACATTAAATTTTCGTGTGAACATTCA